ACACACACACACACACACACACACACACACACACACACACACACACACTGTGATAGACCAGGCTAGAGAGCCAGTACCCGCGCGGCGCGACCCGGCCCGCCTCCCAAAACACACTTTACAGGGCACTGTCTGAGTTCCCTATGTTTGGTAAGAAATGAGTTTACAGGAATACTGAAAAACGCTCTCTCTCTCCCCCTCTCTCTCTCTCTCTCTCTCTCTCTCTCTCTCTCTCTCTCTCTCTCTCTCTCTCTCTCCCTCTCTTTCTCACTTCTCTTACTCTTTCAGAAAAAAAGGACAGAAGCGAAACGAAATATTTAGGAGTCGGGCTCCTTCGACCGTTAATGTCAAGGCAACTTGCCTGAGCGGGATACCACATCCTTGCAAAAAACAACAACAAAATCTGCTCTATCGAACAACTTGGCGGTTGGTTGGCGGGTTCTCTGGTGTGGTTTGCTCCTTCTTTCCCATCTAACATCTATCGTCCTTATCTCTCCTCCTTTTTTGTGTTTGTTACTCTCTTGTCATACGTCCTTTAATCTTCGGCACCTGTGTGACCTTATTGTGTTGCAAATGCCGTAAAACTCTTACTTAAACAAAACTTAAAGCTACGTCTCCCTCACGAGAATCAAACTCGCTTCACCACCGTCTGTAGTACTGTGGTTAAGTGCATCGCTGTCGCAAACAGAAGACCTGAATTTGATTCCCCTCTTGGTAGAATTGTTTAAAAATAGATTATGTCCACGTTTCCACTGGAACGTTGTATCTCTCTCAGCCTGGGTAGGCCCTTACTCGAAGGGTTGAAGGCCACCCCCCCCCCCAACCAAAAAAGAAGTAAAGAAAAGAAAAACACACTTTCTAAATAAAATCTAAACGGTGTTCGCTAGGACGTAACAAAGGGAATACTTTAAGCAAAAAACAAAAACAAAATTGTGTCATTTGACTGAAGCTTGAAAAATCACATTTTAATGTTACCATAATGCAGTTAACCAGTGTCGATGGAACGTAAGCCTGTGTCACCCTACATTCAAACCGGCAAGACCACACCCATTGTGTGCGCAATGTCAGCAAAATTTATCGCTGACAGCAGTGGCGGTACGAGGTTTATAGAACTTTACTGACCGGCCGTCATTCACATCGACTCTTTATCGCCCCCACCCCTTAATCCCCTTCCTTCACACACACACACACAC